TCCAAGTCAAAATTTATAAAAGTAAACCATTATAGGTCAAAGTATGGTCTTCAACATGGAGCCTTGGCTCACACCGAACAGCAAGCTATAAAGGGCCCCAAAAAATTACTAGTGTAAAACCATTCAAACGGGAAAACCAACGGTCTAATCTATATAAAAAACGAGAAACGAGAAACACTTATGAACCACATCAACAAACGACAACTACTGAACATCAGATTCCTGACTTAGGACAGGTGCAAACAATTGCAGCGGGTTTAAACGTTTTAATGGTACCAAACCTTCACCCTTATCTGAAACAATAGTGTAACATCACAACATAGAAAAACACACTATAAAATATCAATTGAAGTGGCTTAACTCAATCAAAAGACATATTAACACCAGTGAACATACACTGAACAAATAAATATGAGGTGCTGACCAAGTGTTGTTACTTTGTAGCAAATCCATCAACCAAGATGTCTGCCAACGGGGGACTTAGTTTAACAAAGGACCCTATGGGAAATATATACAAATGTCTTCTTCTAGAAAACCGCTTAATGGATCGAAACCAAACATCGATGGTATGAATGTTTCTTATGAGGTGCTGACCAAGTGTTGTTACTTTGTAGCTGATTTGTCATTGTCCTTGTAAAGTCATTTTCTACAATTTCAATGAATTTATTGGTAATTTCTGTAAACTTTACAAAAGTCTTCTGCTTTTGATTAAATTTAATTAAATATTAAACCAAATTTGGCATCAATCATTATTAGGGTATCTGTTATGATTCTAATCTATTTTTTACATGATTTCCAAAACCAAAGTAGAATCAGGTGAGAGACACAGGCTCTTGGGAGGCTCTAGTTTTGTTTTGGGGAAAAACTAAAGAAGATAGAGATAAACTATAAACAGTCATGATTTATACCCGAGTCTACAATTTTGGAGTGTGTCCATTGTTAGAGATCATTGTATATAGACCTAAGTGAGCAACACATGCTCTTTAGAGCCTGTAGTTTTTATGCTATCAATCTTTATCCATTATTGTAGGTAGAACAGAAAGATATATATGTCGTGTTTATTCTCCTCCAATTTGTGTAATTGTTAAGAAGACAGTAGTTTGACACATACACCACATTTTGTCAATTTAATATCCTAGTATTAGATGATGTTAGCCCGAATGGGTGTATCTAATTTACACCAAGATATCATTGTCAATGTAGAATGATAGTTTTCAATAATTTAGGAGGGGGTCTTTCAGCGATGTGACCATATGTTATTGAAAAGCATGATAAATGCAAGGTATCCAATTTCATTTAACAACATCTTGGTGTAAGTATATATATAAGGTATTAAAAAATTGCTTGAGATGGGTATAAAACATGTTTAACCCCGCCACATTCTGTATGTGCCTGTCCCAAGTCAGGAGCTTGTAATTCAGTGGTTATTCTTTGTTGGCAATAGTTGCTATATATCAAGTTTTTCGTTTATTGTTTTGAAGATAAATCAGGCCGTTAGTTTTCTCATTTGAATTGTTTTACATTTGTCATTTCAGGGCCTTTTATAGCTTACAATGTGGTAATGGTTTTGCTTATTGTTGAAGGCCATATGGTGACCTATAATTGTAACTGCTACATCATTTGGTTTCTGGTGGAGAGTTGTCTCATTGGCAATCATACCACATCTTGCTATTTTTATATTTATAGGATCTAAATAATGTTTACCAAAAAACACTATGTTGTGTGTACACCTACACACTAAAACATGTAGAAAGGAGGGCTAAAATGTAGTTAAATATAGCTACTCAGCCTGTAACAATAGAGTTTTAATCACACTTTGTGCGATCTTCCCCCAAAAAACTTAAACCATATCTTTAATACTTGGTCGTCTGAAATGGGCTTAATCATCTGTACTTTTCTGTTTAACTACTGTTTTTATATACATGTAATAATTTAGTGTTTGGGGCATACATAGAAGGGGTTGTTCAGTGTTTACAGACTTTGAACAGGTATCATTGATTGTTCTTCTATGTTCTTTTTAAAATTCAAAAGCTAAAAATTAAAAAAGGGGGGTTGAGTGCCCCAAAAAAACCTAGTTTAACCCAACAAGTTCATGTGCCTGTACAAAGTTAGGAGCCTCGTTAGTAGTTCGTCTCAATGTTTTTTGTCCATTAATGAATTTGGTGCTGATAGAAGATCTTTGATAGATCTCACATAACTTGTTTAACCCCGCTACATTTTTGCACCTGTCCCAAGTCAGAAACCTCTAGCCTTTGTTAGTCTTGTGTGTGTGTTTTTTTAAATATTTTGGTTCATTTGTATGTTTCCGAGTTCAGTTTAGGTCCATTTCGCTAAACTAGTATACATATTGGTTTAGGGGCCAACAGAAGCCCGCCTCCAGGTGCACGATTTTCTCACTGCATTGAAGACACATTGGTGGCCTTGGGCTGTTTTATGTTCTTTGGTCGGTTTGTTGTCTCTTTGACACATTCCCTGTTTCCATTCTCTATTCTATCTGTTGAATTCATTCATAACTTTTCTATATTCAAAGTGGTTTAGGCATATTGTTGTGACACTACCATATAAAAATAAGAAGACTTGGTATGATTGACAATGAGACAACTCTCCACCAAAGTTCAAATGAAGTACGGCCTTCAACAATGAGAAAAACCCATAACCTATAGTCAGCTTTAAAAGGCACTGACATGAAAAAATATGAAACAATTCAATTGAGAAAACTAACGGCCTAATTTATAACAAAACAATTTACGAAAAACTTATATGACAAACATGAACCAATAACAACCACTGAAGCTACAGACTCCTGACTTGGGACAGGCACATATGCAATGTGGCGAGGTTAAACTAGTTTGAAGGCGCCAACCATCCCCAAACATGGGACAGTGGTGTAACAGCACCACACAAGAACAACTATGCAAAACAATAAACGAATAACAAATATGAGAAACAGCAAAAAAGGACAACCACTCAATTACAGGCTCCTGACTTGGGACAGGCACATATACAATCATGTCAATGTGGTGGGTTAAACTAGTTTGCTAGCGCCAAACACCCCCCTAACCTGGGACAGTAGTGTAACAGTACAACATAAGAACAGACTATAATAAACTGCTTCCCTGAGCGCAGCTGGATACGTCCGCAGAGGTCCAACCCTGAACAGTTGGGGCAAAAATGGACACAATATTCAAGCTTGATACAGGTCTGAATTTGGATTGTAATTAAATATTTGATATATTATAGGTTTCTGAATAAATGTAGTCAAAGAACTTGAAATTGGTTATATGAAAGATTTCTTGCTGTTGTGCAATACACTGTGCTGTTGCGTAATACTTAGTAAATCTGTTGTCAGACTATAAACAAATAAAATGTTATAACTCGGAAACATAAAATCGAAAATTTATAAAAATCAAAAGGGAGCTTAAAAAAATAGATATAAACAATTTACCAAAGTTTCATAAAAAATGCTGAAAGCATTTTTGAGTTATTGTCCGAAAACTGGAAAATCCCCCTTTTTGTAATGAATAAAACCCCATAAATTGGAAACGTATAGTCTGAAATTTAGAAAAATTAAAAGGGAGCTCATGTCGATAGAAATAAACAGTTCACCAAAGTTTCTTGCAAATTGGTGAAATTGTTTTTGAGTTATTTTCTGAAAACTGGAAAATCCCCCCTTTTTTAATGAATAAAACCCCAAAACTCAGAAGCGGTAAATTTAAAATTTATTAAAAATGAAAGGGAGCTCACGTTAATAGATATGAACAATTCACAAAAGTTTCTTGCAAATTGGCGAAATATTTTTTGAGTTATTGTCTGAAAACTGGAAAATCCCCCCTTTTTTAATGAATAAAACCCCAAAACTCGGAAATGGTACATCTGAAATGTATAAAAAATATAAGGGAGATAACGTCAATAGATATAAACAATTCACCAAAGTCTCATGCATATTGGTTAAAGCGTTTTTGAATTAATGTCCGACATGTTGACAACGGACGGACGGACAGACGGTCAACGGTATACCATAATACGTCACATAAATGGGCGTATAAAAATCATTTGAAAAGCGCTTAACTCATTAGATCGATACAAAGCAGAAAACATTTAACAATAAATGGAGAATGTGTCCCCATGGACACAGATGATGCCCCCGCTTGCATACAACATTATAAAGGGACATAACTCAAGAACAATAAAAATGATGCTACCAAAATTTGTACTTGATCTTAGTTTTGTGGTAATAAGTATTGTGTATAGGTTTCATGTTTGGTTGGGGCAAACTTAAGTTTTGCAATTTTTCGATTTATAAAGGGGCATAACTCAATAATAGTTAAAGTGACACACCCAAATTCAACTTGATCTGTGTTTTATCAGTGGAAGGCAAAATTAAACATTGCATTGTATAAAGCATTGATTGTAGTTGATTCAACTATAATCATGGACAAAGGAAGATAACTCCAATTTTAAAAATTACTTGAACAATGACATCATTGATATTTTTAGAAAAAAAATGAAAAATTTAGCAATTTTTCCATTTGTAAAGGGGCATAACTCTAGAACAGTAAAAGTGATGCCACCAAAACTCAAACTTGATCTGTGTATTGTGGTAATAAGCATTGTGTATAAGTTTCATAACATTTGGTTGAGGCAAACTAAGTAAGAGAACGGAAATGAAAAATTTTGCAATTTTTCCATTTATAAAGGGGAATAACTCGAGAACAGTTAAGGTGACGCCACCAAAATTCAAACTTGATCTGTGTTTTGTGGTAATAAGCATTGTGTACAAGTTTGATACCATTTGGTTGAGGCAAATTTAAGTTAGAGAACGGAAACCAATTTTGGGACGTACGGACAGACGGACAAGGGTAAAACTTAATGCCCCCTCCGCTTTGGAGTGGGCATAAAAACACAGACCGGATGTGGCAGCGTATCTATACATCCCACAACAAAAAAGACACTAATATCAAAATCTGAAAAAATGGCAGTTTAATAAAAAACACAACTACTTTCAGGATAAAAAAAAAAGAAGAGAAGTTTAATTTAAAGAAATAATAGACATCTACACTTACTATAAACAAAAGGAATGGAATAGATAAATCTTTATTGTTTGTGAACAAAACAAAATAGCCTTAAAAACAGATATTTTCTACAATTCTCTTACAGATAGCATTACCACAAAAAGGAGTAGGTTTCGATAATATGGCCCATATTTCTAGCTATCACATATGGATTTAAAGGCAATTATCAAAAGGTATAATTGTTATAACAATGAATGGATAGAAAACAATTTTTTTCTTTTTAAATTATGTAGCAGCTTTCTTTTATGACATCAAAATTAGCATATTTCACTTTTTAACTGGCTTTCATAAAAATAATAAAGAAACATAGCACATGCATTAAAAAAAATCTTTTACCATTATATTTGTTATAACAAATTACCTATCTGACTTTAATATTTGGTATGTCAAAACATGACCCGTATCATTCCTAGTCCTAAATGAGATTGAAATCAAAAGATTTCCGCAAATTTCACAACAAGAGTGCACATGCTGAAATGTCTCGCCTTCTTTACTTACCATTAATATTATGTTGATAGTCCTAAATGAAAGCTTTACTACAACTATTACATAAACTTAACATGATCCAAGAAAATGAAGTCAAGGTCATATAAACCAAACAAGAAATACATGTACACCTTACAATCATTCAAATACACTAAACATATTGATCAATGAATTGTGAAAATGAGGTCAAGGTCAGATGAACTATGCCAGGCAGACATGAACAGCTTACAATCCTTCCATACAACAAATATAGCTGACCTATAGCTTATAGTTTAAGAAAAACAGACTGAAACACATAAACTTAACTTTGACCACTGAACCATGAAAATGAGGTCAAAGTCAGATGACACCTGCCAGTTGGACATGTACACCTTACAATCATTCCATACACCAAATATAGTAGACCTTTTGCATAAAGTATAAGAAAAATGGACCAAAACACAAAAACTTAACTATAACCACTGAACCATGAAAATGAGGTCAAGGTCAGATGACACCAGCCAGTTGGACATGTACACCTTACAATCCTTCCATACACCAAATATATACTAGACCTATTGCTTATAGTATCTGAGATATGGACTTGACCACCAAACTTAACCTTGTTCACTGATCCATGAAATGAGGTTGAGGTCAAGTGAAAACTGTCTGACGGGCATGAGGACCTTGATAGGTACGCACATACCAAATATAGTTATCCTATTACTCATAATAAGAGAGAAATTAACATTACAAAAAATCACAACTTTTTTTTCAAGTAGTCACTGAACCATGAAAATGAGGTCAAGGACAATGGACATGTGACAGACGGAAACTTTGTAACATAAGGCATCTATATACAAAGTATGAAGCATCCAGGTCTTCCACCTTCTAAAATATAAAGCTTTTAAGAAGTTAGCTAACGCCGCTGCCGCCGGATCACTATCCCTATGTCGAGCTTTCTGCGACAAAAGTCGCAGGATCGACAAAAATGTGGGGTGTAATTAGCAACACTATATGAGAAAAGCTACACAAAAACTGTTCCATTTCACTTGCTCACATGTGCACACATCATTTGAACACATTTTTCATCTTGAAATAATGAACTTAGAATAAGGTACAAAATACTACAGCTTACCACACCTGCTCCTTTGTACAGATCAATCAAGGAATGCTTAAATGGCTATATTACTTTGGAATATTCTATTTTGGTGAAGCTAAACATGTACCAGTTATTACAAAAATAACGAGTGATCAGTAATGGCTAATAATAGAATTGTATGGAATTATTACTTTGATGATTGACATCATTTTATTGCTATTTACCTTTTCTATAATACACTCCATTATATAGCAGTTGAGGTCATGATCAGTTTGGTAAAAAATTAATAGAGAAATATGTATGCCACCAGGAACATATACATGTATATTGATTTACTGTTCCCAGATGCCACATAAAGTAATTTTTAGTTTGTTGCTCCCAGAAAAATTTGTTGTTTCCTTTTTTATTTACTTCTTCTTTTGCAACTATCAAATAGTGTGATGGGGAGTTCATTATATAGAACAGTTAAATTATAAGCATTATAAGCATTTGCTTTTTAGTTGAGATTCTCAGCCTTTTAATGAAATGATGCTTTGAGATAGACAACACAAGAATAGTTATAGCATTTTGTATCTTGGCTTTAATCATATGGTAGAAAAAGAAATGGTTTATACAAATATATATATATATATATGTATATACAAACAAGAACTACTAATAAAAAATAAATGGGGAATGTGTCCATGGGACACAGTTGATGCCCCCGCTTGCATATAACATTATAAAGGGATATTACTCAAGAACTGTAAAAGTGACGCTACCCAAATTTGTACTTGATCTGAGTTTTGTGGTAATAAGCATTGTTTATAAGTTTCATAACAATAAGTTGGGGCAAACTTAAGTTAGAGAACAGAAACGTAAAATTCAACAATTTTTCCATTTGTAAAGGTGCATAACTCTAGAACGGTAAAAGTGACACCACCAAAATTCGAACCTGATCTGTGTTTTGTGGTAATTAGCAATGTGCATAAGTTTCATTACATTTGGTTGAGGCAAACTAAAGTTAGAGAATGGAAATGAAAAATTCAGCAATTTTTCCATTTGTAAAGGGGCATAACTCTAGAACAGTAAAAGTGACACCACAAAAATTCAAACTTGATCTGTGTTTTGTTGTAATAAGCATTGTGTATAAGATTCATAACATTTGGTTGAGGCAAACTAAAGTTAGAGAATGGAAACCAATTTTGGGACATACAGACCGGCTGACGGACGTACAGACGGACGAGGGTTAAACTTAATGCCCCCTCCGCTACAGCGAGGGCATAAAAAGTGAAACATATGTACTAGCATGGTTGGGGGTATGAAAAAAAGATGTTTTAATGCTTTCTATTTTCCTAAATGTTTTCCTGTACTTGCTTTATTCCCAAAGTACTTAACAGCCAATTCTGAAAACAAGAATGTTTAATGCCTGCTATATTCCCAGTGTTTCTGTCAATTCTGGAACAGCAGATTTCTTTTTCCAATAAAACTAGTAAAAATTTAAGCAGCCATTTCAAAAGCATATGATTTATTTTTAAAAGTTTGATCATTTGTGGCCTTATTCAATTGGTAATAAGAAACAAGCCATTTGCAAAATACACATACATCCTGTAAGCATAACTTAACCATTAGACTGAAACATTTGTGTTATGGATGATTTTCTCAATTTGGTACATCTTCTTTGGTTAAATTTTTGTATATACACATGCAACAAGGTTTTCTATTACCCTTTATTTTCTAGAAAATAACATACCTTATTGGTATACATGTAAATATAAAGAGATTAAAAAGTAAATACAAAGTGTGTAAAAATAATAAATCATTATAGTCAATATCTTAGGTTCTAACTTCATGAACTTGGTTCATTATTTTTACTGCATGATTATTTCTGAATTCTGGTATACAAGCAAGTTCTCAAGCTTTGTTAGTTTAAGTTTGCTGATGAGGTGTAAAACATACACCAATCAATCAATATTGGTTTACGATATTCATATAGAATCTGTAATCCTAAGGTTATTTATATTTTTCCATGGAAAAAACTGTTAATTTTGAAACAATATATATATTTCAAATTTGACTTACTGTGGATTCATTATTATTCGTTGGATACCAATTTTCGTGGATTTCGTGGGTACAGGTAAACCACGAAATTAAATTTTCAACGAATGACAAATTTTCTATAGGCTTGTATGCAGACCTCAGAAAAACCACAAATTAAATATCCACGAACATACAAGTTTTCCTTTATCCACGAAAATTGATACCCACGAAAATAAATGAATCCACAGTAGCTTATCCTCTAAATAATGGAGATAAGCTGGCCATGAATTCTTCGGTAAATAGTCCTTTAAGTTAATTAGTATGAAAAACCTGCTGTCCATATAAATAATTTTGAAAGAAAAAACCACAACCTGAAAATACATGAATTCACAATACATCATAAGCAAGATATGACTACGCAGCTCCATCTATATGATTAAAATCACATACTGTATGAGGTAAATATTAATAAAATTGTGATAACAGGGCAGTGATATGAATGAGTATTTGTTCATCAAAATACCTTTATAGTAGATCATATATTTAATGCTCTTCATGATTTTTAATATGCTGTTAATTTTTTTTTATGAGAAGCTAATTTTGTCAAAAACGGTAAGCCAAAACTTTACATTTTACATGCAATTAATAAAGTTTAAATGCATAAAAATATTGAACAAAGATTCCATTTAAAATCTTGGATGGTTAAACCTGATGTGGTTTTAGCTGCTGATCATGAACAAAGCACCAACAATCAACTTCAAAAGACTTTGTTGTTTTAACAGAAAAAAGAAAAGGAGAATATTCTTTGTTGCAAATATGATATAATATTTATTGACATGAATCATCTACCAACATTCACATATATCCATAAATTCTGTGATTGTCATTTTTTTCCAACTTTGATTATACATATTACATTACTTGTTTAGACATAAGACACTGCAAAAAAATTAACAAAAATATTTTTTGAAGGATTAAATTGTATCTGATGTATCAAGTTTTTCTATTTTTTTTTTTTTTTTTGGCAAATTAAGTACTATAATGTTTTTTTTTTACCACCAATAATATAATTTCTATAATTTGACATGAACAATGCAATGTCATAATATACAGTATAAAAGTATAAAGAAAATGGATAAATGTTTGGTATCTCATTGTTGAAGGCCATACAGTTGTCTATAATTGCTTACAGTTGAACTTCAGTGGATAGTTGTCTCATTGGCAATCATACCACATCTCCTTATTCATATAAGGGGAACACATTCACACCACAAACTGAGCAAATATTTCATGGTGAGGTCATTTTAAAAGCTTGAAAAAAATTAAATAAAAATTGTATATCAAATTTTAAAGGAAACATCTCAAAACAATACAGCTGCAATTGAGTCCAAAGAGGTCATATTTATCAGTCATGACCTAAATTGGGACCAAAATGAATGAGATAAATATCCAAAACTCAGACTTTCAGAATTATGAAGATAATCCTGTTGTTAGTTATTCATCTATAAGTTATGAAAAGAATCAACCAGTTAACCATTTAGATACCTGTCTGGCAATAAAATATTTTGGAAATATTATGCAATACATATATAATATTTTTTGAATATTTTGATTTTATATGCTTCCTAAACAAAATTTAACAGGAATGTATATTTCTTGATAACAAAAATCACAATAATTGAGAACACTGTCTGTTAATGATATTTCGGAAAGTCTAAGTCGCATTCATATTATTAGACATCTTTGAAGTAAAATTATATCACTCATATTTCTAGAAATCTTTGTATTCAAAACAAGTTGTCAAATATTCATAGTAGATAGGGCCTAGACCTCGTCATGCTGACCCTTTATTTCTTAAAGCCAACATGTAATTCAAATAATGATATTTCTAGAATCATACAGGCTTTACTCTGAACAAGGCTTAAACTTGACAAAAATGAAAACTAAGACAATTGGTACCAGTATCAGGGACAAAAAAGAGCCAGCACATGTAAGCTATAAAACAAATGACTTATTTTTATACACAATCATAATGTTTCTCTCTAGTCTATTATCACTATTCACCATAACAACAGAAACATTATAGGACAATTCATTCTACAAAAATGGCCAAACTTTCATACAAACCTGAGTCAAAACCCATTTGCTTAACATCAAAATGCAAATAAAAAAGATAACATTGCGTAGTATTAACAATATAGTTGATCATGTAGGCTAAAGTACACTAAATTTATAAACTATGGAATTCAGATTCAATCACTAAGCTAATAAATACATGATATGATCTATCACCTAATAATATCACTAAATTAAAAAACAAACAATACATAAGCATTTCTTTGCTTAATCTTTGGTCCTTTAAGGTGAGGTAGAATAGCTGTATTTAGCATTTTTCAATTGAAGTTAGACTTTAAAACTGGTCTTTATCAATATTTTATCTATAACCCAGTCACCCTCCTGGTGAAAAACTTCATGTTTATCAGACAGTTTAAAAAGTGAAGAATTCAATTAACATGTCTCCCTTTTTTCTTTTTTTTTAATAGAGGATGGTCTTCAAAATAACTTTGTGGAAACTGGAAGATCTTAGACAAGACATCTACTTTATAATTAAGTTACTCCCTCTCCTCCTGCCCTTTAGAACAATAAAAAAATTCAAAACAATAATCTTTAAGCCTAAGTTAATGCAGTTTAAAAGGTATTTTTTAGATTTTTGAAAAGTTATTCAAGATAGTTACAGAACAAACAAAAATTTCAAAACAATAATACTTAATATGATTTGTAACAAGGGAGGTTATAATATAATGAAATAAACTTCAGTTAAACAATGGTAAGGTATTTCGGTCAAAATGATGATGGCACGTCATAAAAGTCATCAAAATTTTCATAGATAACAAAACACAAATGGATTTATACATAAAAAAATAAGTTAATAAATTTTCAAAAATATATAATAGTACCGTATATAATTATAATAAACAACTTTATATTTCTTTTTCTTAATTTTTATGTCTTGATGTAAATCTAATTGTATATCATTTTCTGAAGTTTTATCTTTTTTTTTCAAATTTTTAAAAAGATAACATCCTTCATTGTCTTCCAACTGTAGGAATTTAACAAATCAATACAAGATACCACCACTCACATCATAGCAAATAAACAAGCTAATACAATATAAAGGTAAGCTTTATAAGGATATTGGTACATATGTAAACAATCTAACAAAGCATATATTGGTCAATAGTGTTATACCATAAATAAAAAAATACATACATTAATTTCAATGTGTAAAAGTATAGCACATTTAACATATAATTTTAATTGTAAACAACATGAGAATGTGATCTTTAAACAATATCTTGATATATTGAGGAAGCTGAGTTTATGATTGGACTTATGATATGTTTTCACATTAAATTGTACTGGAGATGGAGATACCCATATTTTGCTGTAATAACTTAGACAGAAAAGAAATAGGGTTTGCCTAATCTACCTCTAATATTATCAGTTTTCTCTCAGATTTGTTTAGTTTGAATCTGATAAGCTTTCTTCATCATCCAAAATTTGTGTTAGCTGGTGAGGGGTGTTTGCATAAAGGTGAGGTACAGTACTGTCTGATCTCTGTAAACGCTTCCTCCTTTCTTCAGCCTCTTTGAACTCTCTGGAGCGACTGGCCATCACCTCTGCTTCTTGTGGTAATCTGTCTTCATGTCGAACTGTTGACTCATGAGGCATCTATATAAGATACATAAAAATAAAAAACAAGTGATTTTCAAAAATTATGTTCAATGGCAATTATTTTCAGAATATTTTAAAATAAAATAAATAACTTTTTCCATTGTAAGAAAAGCATTTATCTTAAGAATCATTTCTAAAATAAATCATTTTGCGGTGGCAGTCATTTTGTTTTTAAATTGGCACAAAATTTACATATTTAAGGAGGTACAATTATACAATAAAGGAGTGCAATATTCATCCAATCTTTGCAACTTTTTCAATCATAAACCTGATTACATGATTCCCATTGAGTTCTGTGCTATAAATAAACAAAGCTGCCAGGTATGATTTTAGATGGGACAGTCCAAGAGACAATCCAGGACCATTCTACTAAAGTTTTGTTCAATTTGGCGAAGGAATTTTAAGGATATGTCAAAAAGTGTCTCTCCCAATCAGAGAATATAATGGCCATTTCAAATTTCAAATGATAGGCAGTCAAGCAAGATAAAGATTTGAGGATCAGTCAAGGCAATTGTTTAATTTGGCATAACACCTTCAAAGCCATCCAATTTTTGTTTAGCCTATCAGCAGCTTTGACTATCAGGTTGGATGACGGGCAAACCTGCCAGAAAGATTTCTAAAAGGAGGACCACAAAAGAACCATTTTACTACAGTAAAATTTGCTCATTGGAAAAGGTCATAATTTTAAAAGTTTTTTGGTCCGACTGGAAATGACTTATGCCAAGCGATTGCCATAGTTTGGACCTGTTGAGCTTAAAATTGGTCTTAATCAAAAACAGATTTCCAGCAAAAAGTACATAGTTAAAAAAATTTACAAGTATAACAATATATCAAAACTCTTCAAAGTTTTTCCCCTATCAGTGCATTTGGTTATTCTTTTTAGGTCTCTTTTGGCCATATAGCTCCTCAAATATTCAAGTACACACTCATGCATTTATACATCCTTGGCTTTCAAAATTTTGGGGTTTCGAGCGTTCCTGATTCCTGATAAAGGTAAATCCAGAAATGCATTCAGACCCAGCAAATCTATGAAGTGTTGTTTTCACTTTCTAGCACTTGGCCAATTGGTAGTCACCAAGGGTATCATCAGAATAATTAAAAAAAAAACAACTAAGGTTCAAACTCCCTCAGGAAAAGTTGACCTTAGTTGGATTTGGTTATCATTTTTAGGTCTCTTTTGGTCATATATAACGTCAAGTATTCAATGTGTTATTTATATACATCCTTGGCATTCAAAATTTTTGGGTTTGAGCGTTTCCTGATGAAGGAAAATGCAAAAAAAAACGCTTCAGGCTGTAATAAGACAGTACTTTAGTTCTCTGTTTGAATTTTTCCTGAATTTTACAGGGGAAATATCAACTCTGTGTGAACTTATCTTTTATAGTTTTTCATTTGTAAGAAAATATATAAAAAGTTAATCTACCGGTACCATTAACTAATTGACAGTAGATGTATTACATACCAACATAGCAGGTGACCTAAATACATAGGAAAATGGATAATGAAGCAAATTGAGGAAAGAAGCAGCATACAAATCAGCATATCTCATCACTTGGTTACCAAAAAACGTCTGTCGAGAACCTATAAAATCAAACACCAATTAATCTAACGAACGATATAAATTGTACAGTTAAAAGAAATGAACAAGTGCTGTACAAGGCTTAATGTTACGGTACAATCAATGTGCAAAACTAAAGATTTTTATAAGATTTTATATCAAACTTAGGTGGTCCGAGTACACAGTTATTTCGTAGTGCATTTCTTTTAGACAATAAATGAAAATAAAAAAAATCCCACCTGCGCTTTATCAATAATATTTTTACAGTGTGTTGTACTACTTTTGGGACAAATTATATCAAAATTATAGAAAACTTCATCAGCTCTTAACTCAAAATATGGACAATTTTATGTTAAGGGGGTCTTCAATCTTTTGACAGCTTCCGAAGTGCTAATTTTTAACATTTTTCAGCTGGACCAAATCACTACTTTACTTTAAAATTCATAACCCAAATTTTTTTACAGTGTCATTTCACCCCCCTACTTGCTATTTGAGTCATAAAACATGGAGAAATAAATTTGGAAGGGGTATAAAAAAAATTGGCAAGTAAAACACTGTCCACACTAGGGACTATATTCGTGGACAACGAAAATCAAAGGACGATAACTGTGTACTAGGACCAGGTATGTTGAAAAAAACTGATAAAAAAAATGCATTTTGCTCTTACTATTATCTTAAATATTATTAAAGGAAACTTTTTAAATAAATACACATTTGTAATCTTATGTTCTAGCTTGAAAACTTTTAGAGGGGTAAGCCAAACAAACCATGTACCCCCATGCATAATTTCCCCCAAAATGACAAGGTTCGACATCCTCATACCTGTCAACCTCTGAACCTGAAAATGTCAGGTCATAACGCGTACAAACTTTTTCAGTCCAATTTTAGTATTGAGAGTTTTTTTTATATACTATAACATATACATGTACCACTGAGTTTCCTGAAAATAATCACTTTTGTATTTGTTAAGTATATAAATATTTATCATTAATTAAATAACTTTCTAAAGCAATGCCCTTTTATTGTTTTATTCACACTTGTTAACTTCTTCTTGTTAATGAATGTCATAAACCCCAGCCATACATGTAGTTAGAAATCAATATTATAGCTAATGTGCTCCTATACACAGGAGGAAGATAAAAAGAAAGAAGTTAGTGTGTTTCCTTTCAGTGTAATATTTAGAGCATATGGATTTGATTTAAAGCTTTTACATTTAAGTGATAACAAATTTATTCTTTCTAAAAGAAATGTATTAAAAGGTTCAAATTGTTTAAAAATGATTTCTACAGGATATTTTGATATTTGCAAATGGCAAATCTTTTAATCAGGACATAGAATTTTATTTCATAACCTCCGACAAGATATTCTAGTGTTTACTCCCCTTGGCCGTCAATAGATGGCAGCACCGTAGCCCTTTAAAAGCTTTGTTCCAAAGATTTGGTTTCATTCTCCAATATGGCTCGCTCGCAGCATCATCAACTATCGGACAACGCTTTGTATTCACCGTATTCTCAGTAACTTTTTATATATCAGTGGAATTTTTATATTTATATTAATTCACTTATTTTCAAATTTCTGTGGTACAATTAACAAACAATCCTCGAATTGTTACTTTTCAATCAAATGTAATGTTTTGATAGCTGCCATTGGTACGGTAAATAAGCAAATTCTAATTTCAATTGTTTATTTTTTCAAAGGAAAAACGCTGAGAAAATCGAAAGTATATTTGATATCTAAATACTGGAAACAATACCAGTCAGAAATACGGGTGAAAATGGGTCATTTTCTGAAATCTCGGGTTATTTGAATACCCGGCGGGTATTTAAAAAATCCCTGAAGGGGGAAATTCTCGGGTTACACCCACAGACTACGGGTCAGTTGACAGCTATGCATCCTATCATTTGTTGAAATTTAAAGAAAATAAAATTCAAAACAACATGCACAACCTCAGTATATGTTCTGAACACCCGGTTTTATAAAATTGTAGCTCTTAATTCAAGGAGGAGTTAGTTGAGCAAACAATATACCCTATGTAGGACCAATGGACAGATAAACATGGGTAAAACAATATGCCCCTAACATTTTGTTGCGGCCGCATAAAAAAAAAAAACCATTAAGGTAGATCATAGGTATATATTTCTTGAGATAGAATTTTCTTATACTTTGCCAAAACAAAGATTTTACTATGCTTTTGTCAAAAATATAATAAAAAGTATGGGTCACCGTGCTATTTTCCAAGCTATGAGTCGTTGAAAATTGCCTAAATTTGGTTAGATTGTTCATGAAAAAACACATTTGTGTGCATAAAAAGAAATCTATGAGATAGAATTTTGAAATAAATTGTGAGAAGATAGGTTTTATAATATGTTTTATGAAAATAAAAAGAAAAAATGGTGTCACGGAACTTGTTTTCTTGCTACAAGTAAAAGTAAAAAAATTCCCTATCAGTCCAGTATATTTTTTTTACTAAAAGAGTTGTTTCCCCTTAAATGGCTTATTTTAAAAAATTGATTCTAAAAACACAAAATTTGATATTTGTTTAAATATTTTGGATAATACAATAAATCACCAAGTTTTCTTTATATAAATAAACAGTCTAACCAATAAATTTCAAATCTTTCTCCAAATTTGCAGATTTGGGCAAATAACTAAACTGATTTTGTACTGCGATTGTACAATCCAAGATGGCGGTATACCATGAATCTACCTTAAAATGTGTAGCTATTTTCACTTTCCATTAGCACATAAGGAAAATAAAAGTGTTTTTTTTTCATAAATTATTCAGTTTAGTTTAATTAATCTGAATTGTATGCATAATCAGAAAGCAATCTGTGACAGAGACTACCCAGCATGACATAGGCCATGCTCATGCTCTACATACTTACCACTTCTAAAGAGACTTCCCAGCATGCCATAGGCCATGTCCATGTGATGAGTTACATCCTAGAAAGTATTATCAAATAATTAATGTATGAAAATCTACTAAATATATTTCTCACAAATGCTTTATTTCTTGTTCATTTTAACTTGAATTATAATCCAACATTGATAGTCTTATGCTTACAAGATCTTACAAATGATTTTTGATGCATATAATAAGCAATGTCGCAAAAACAACGTATTCAACTTAGATGAGTTATTATCTGCCCTTGCTACTGATTCATTCGACTCAGTAGGTCACTGGATATTTGATTGAAAATCATATATAAACAAGATTTTATAATGGTTTGCAATTTTACTGACCAAACTTATTTTATAATTTTACTTAAAAGATGAACGACCTCTGCTGTAGAAATATACATGAATTGTAAAATCAAATCAGGATAAAACTTATTTTATTTTGACCTTAATTTGTTCTAACTTCTATTCGTTTACAGATAAACAAAAATCAGATAGAGACCAAAACGTAAAAATGACTCTATTGATAAGATCCTTACCCTAATGGCTTTCTGGATATTACTAATGTCAGGCTTGGTTTTGGAACTGCTATCTAAATTTCTGAAATGTAAAAGATATTTTATAATAAACAATGTTATTTCAAAATAATTTAATGGTAGTCTAAAGCTTCTATATCTACCAAAGATTTGACAGCCTTAGTAAATATAAGAAAATCAAAATAACCTGAAATGGCATTTTTCCTTTCTTCCACAGCCTCCCATGTATATTGCAAGCATGACCAAGAGTAAAAAGGCAAGTCCCCAGTTTAATAATTCTATGTATTAATTATATATATTCTTAATAAGTTAGCATTAAATAAAACTTGAAAGTGTTCCAGTGTTTACCTGTACATTTTGTACTTATACATAAACACCTTTGTTAATATTTGATGTAAATTTGATATTTCACGTCGTTGCATTACAAACCTTTTACCTTTAAAATGAACTTCATAGTAGCAAGATAAGACATACCTATATATTTCTCCTATATTAGCATCAAAATCTTCTAGTTGTGTGAAGAAGTCCTGTTTTTCTGTCCACACTCTTAGTTCATGTGCTAATTCTGGTACAATAAGGAATGTTCTCCAACCTCTCATTTTCTTGGATTTCAAAATGTCACCGAATATATGGTCTCCAATATAAAGAACTTCCTTGTCTAAAACTCCCATGATATCAGAAAACACATCAACAGAACCTTAAATGAACATATAATTCAAATTTGAAGCAAATTAAATTATTGTGCACAACAAAAAACAACACAGGTTTACAAACAACTACATGTCAATTTTATTGTTACTTTGCTTGAATATAAGATGATTGATTGATTGATGGTAGCATAGCATCCTGCTACAAATATTGCATGTTTACATTCAGGAAGATGAAAGTCAGTTTTATATGATTGAAGCTCATTAGGTTAGTCTGAAGAGGATGTTACATCATTCCAACATTTTAGTCCGACTCTGAGCAAATTAGTTTTGGAGGAATGCTAGTTACTTTGTTGAAATTCTGCACATACCAATATCAAAGTATTTGGTTTGACCAGAGGTGAGACTATCACAAGGATTTACTACTAAAAATCTATGCAATGTATAGTGGGACATGAAAGTAGTGTATGCTTATGCACCAAAAAGATCCACATGTATTTGCACCTACCACAATCAACTGTTTTGTGAAAATGTGTCTATAATTTAAAAGTTTACAAATATCTCGAAGCTCCATACTATAGGTTAAGTAAAAACACATATATAAGATGCATAAAATCCTAAAATATGCACATTCATTAAACTTTTAAAGCCCATACAAACAGATGTAAACAATTCAAATTTACCAATTTGTCCTTTTTTACCTTCCTTAATAAAGAGTTCCATTTCGTTTAATTTCAACTGGGTTTACGCCTGTACTGATATTAATGCAACATCATACAAAATATTATTAATTTATCACAAGTAGTTCCTATCAATCTTACTTAAGCAGAAAACTTAATATTTAAAATCGATAATTAATTCAAGGGCAGGCCCTCAAAATAGTCATCAAACTGATATGTACTGGTAGTAATGCAACTTCATACAAAATATCATTGATATATAACAAGTAGTTCCTATCAAACTAACTTAGGCAGAAAATTTAACTTTTAAAATCACTAATTAATTCCAAGTCACTGAACCATAGACTTGGGGCAGCGCATAAAAACAGTCATCAAACTGATATGTACTGATAGTAATGCAACTTCATACAAAATATCATTGATCTATAACAAGTAGTTCTTATCATACTAACTTAAGCAGAAAACTTAAAAATTGTTGACGCCAACAGCAAGGTCGTCATCATCATTGTCGCCAGAAAAGCCATCCCTATGTCTTGATTTCCGTGACTTTTGTCACAGGCGAGACAATAAGAGAATTGCTATAATCTTGATTGGTTGTTGTGTACAGCCGTTATTGTTTATTTTTTTAATCCACCGAGAGGACTCTTCTGTATATCAAAGGATAACAATATATATTTCCCTTTGCTTCAAAAATTGTGTAATGAAAAGCAATGGGAATCTTTATTTTTTTAACTAAAAAATATTGGCTGGCCTAATAAATTTTTTAATTCTAACAAGGTTTTGTTTTAAAAATCAACTTTCTTAAGTTCTGTATCTCAAAAAATGCTAAATGTACTATTGTAGCCTATGAAAAAACAGTTGCACTTCCAAAATCAAAAACATGGGAATATGTTCATTCATTATACAGACCAACTACTATACACTTTAGTTAAAACTGATGCATTACTTATGCCCAGCTGTGCCTAAAGGGCTGTTAGGAAAAGATACACATCATTACAAGAGAATATTACCTCCAGAATAGATCTTTCCCGATTTAATTGGTCCTGTATGTGAACCAATCTGTAACTTTCCTGTGTCCTGAAGAATACAATTTTACATGCTACTGCTATTATATACAATTTTACGGATAATTTTTGTTGTTTGAAAAAAAACTCTACTTCGGTCCAAGGAAATTTAATAAGTGGTCAGCAAGTAAAAAATAAGGGCACAACATGTCTGTTAGAGGTAAAGGTTTCTCTAATAATCATTATCTATAAAATTGAGAATAGAAACAGGGAATGTGTCAAAGAGACAAAAACTCGACCAAAGAGCAGAAAACAGCCCAAGGCCACCAGTGGGTCTTCAACACAGTGAGAAAATCCCGCACCTGGAAGCAATTGTTTGCAGTGAGGGTGAATGAAATCACATATAGACAAAATTGTGGTTTTTTTTTGTGACACTAGGGATGTTTTCAAAATTATGTCTTTTAATAGATATTGTTTATAAATAGAAATTGTAAAAGGTTCCACAAAACCCTGTTTATGTTGACTACCAAAAACTAAGTCCAATAAACAATAAAAAACGGGAAAAAGGAAATCATTTCAAACCTTTTTCTTAAGTTATTGATGTCTAAAAAATTAAATCCTAGACTGTATCTGAATGTTAATTGCAAAAAAAAAACAAATCTTTTTATCATTGAAATACTGAAAAATGAAAACAATATGTTTAGTATTTTGCTAGGCATATGGTCTTTTGATCATAAAACAGCTTCTGTCCAAGTTTCGAAAAATTCCATGAAGGTTTGACAAAATAATTGATGTCTACAAAATTCTAACTTTAGACTGTATCTTATTTGAAACTGCAAAATTAAGTCCATTTATTAGTAAAATAATGGTCTACTTATGAAAATATTCTTCACAAAATGGTGTTCAAAAAAATTACTGTTTACTATATAAATAATGATGTACTCATAATTTTCTTATTTTTGCCACTTTGGAACATTTACAATGGATGACTTGTCTTCATGCACTTCCAAAAGGGTTCTAAACAACAGATCCTTTTCCCCAATACAATTCTTTATGCTCAATTATATGTATATGACAAAAGGAGATGTAAGGTCAGCGTCAGCAAGAGAGCGAAAATACAACCCCAAAAAACGCAAAACAATAAAAATACATATGAGTCAGCTACTTTCATGTTCAAAATATATGTGTGAAGCAAAAGACACATAAAAAGAATGAATGAAATGAAACAGTCATCTTACCCTAACTACTTCACGTAATATTGTTCCTCCTTCAAAAAATAAAGGTTTTCTAGCATCTACCACAATGTAATCAAAATAGTCTGTCCAATCTCTCTGAAATAACAAAAAAACATTACATGAAACAAGATATATGATTAGAACATGATTAACTCACCAGTCAAAAATAAATCTGATATTTCTGATGATTTTTACTATTTAAACTTTCTATCATTAGGATTAACATTTTTACACATTTAGGGTAAACCCTTATACACTAATAAGATTCAAATGAGACTAGGAACTTTGCTACCTTTAAATTCATTCACTTGAATAAGTTAGAAATGAAATATAAGAATACTGCTTCCTAATTACAAATTCTTAGTCTTACCTTTTCATCATAATCAAGAAGATATTTCATCACTTTCTGAAATAAAAATAACCTTTTAAAATTGTACCCTAAATATAATAAAAAGAAAGAAATTTCTTAATTTGTTTCTTAATTTTTCGCATTCACTTTGCATTGTAAGTATTTATCTAATCAGTCTTGATTCTTCAGAGTTCAGTTGTATTTCATTTCAACATCACCTATATATTTGTAAAAACACAATCAATGCCAGTGTTCACTATTAGAAATCACTTATCACTGTAAGAAACCACCATCACTCATGTTACCTATCACTGTAACAAAACATCACTCATGTTACCTATCACTGTAACAAACCATCACTCATGTTACCTATCACTGTAACAAACCATCACTCATGTTACCTAACACTGTTAGAAACCACCATCAATGTCACCTATCACTGTAAGAAACCATCATTCATGTCACCTATCACTATAAGAAGCCATCACTCATGTCACCTATCACTGTTAGAAACCACCATCAATGTCACCTATCACTGTTAGAAACCACCATCAATGTCACCTATCACTAAGAAACCATCACTCATGTCACCTATCACTAAGAAATTATCACTCATGTCACCTATCACTGTAAGAAACCATCACTCATGTCACCTACCGCTGTTAGAAACCACCATCAATGTCACCTATCACTAAGAAACCATCACTCATGTCACCTATCACTGTAAGAAACCACTGTCACTTGTGTAACCTATCACTGTAAGAAACAATCACTAATGTCACCTATCACTGTAAGAAACCATCACTTATGCCACCTATCACTGTGAGAAACTATCACTCATGTCGCCTATCACTAGTACTGTAAGAAACAATCACTAATGTCACCTATCACTGTAAGAAACCATCACTTATGCCACCTATCACTGTGAGAAACTATCACTCATGTCGCCTATCACTAGTACTGTAAGAAACAATCACTCATGTCATGTATCACTGTAACAAGAGTGCAAAAACTAAAATGTCTTGCATGCTTTACTGATCAGGATTGATTCATGATAAAGGCTAAGTATCATATAAACTAAACATTATCAATGATCCATGTGAATGAGGTTAAGGTCAGACATGTACATCTAACAATCATTATATGCAAAAATATAGTTGACCTCTTACTTACAGTATCTTAGAAAGAGACCAAAACACAAAAACTTTACATTGACCAAAGAACCATGAAAATGAGGTCAAGGTTTGATGATATCTGCAAGACCGACATGTACACCTTAAAATCATTCCATACACCATATATAGTTGATCTATTACTTATAATATCTAATAAAAAGAGCAAAACACAAAAACTTGACATTCACCAATGAACCATGAAAATGAGGTATACAGTTTTTTCAGCAGTCTAATCATCATCAATGTCACCTATCACTGTAAGAAACCATCATCAACATCACCACTTTGAAGTAAGGCAATCAACAATCAAAGGCCACTAAGAATCATTCTTCTTTTTTAACTATAGAAGCACTGAAAGGTATTGTGCATACTGTTTAAAAATAAACTATATTTGCCCACCATAGTTACACATTAAAATAATTCTGTAGTTTTTGATGGTACTATTAACCCCAAAAATTATTTCTTTACTAGTATAAGAAACTAAAAAATTATCCTTAACTGGTACTAGAAACCAAACGAATTACTTTCCTTCTGGTACTAGCAACCCAACAAGTTATTCTTAACTGGTACTAGAAACACAATAAATTACTTCATCACTGGTACTACAAACCCAACACTTCTTTAATGGTACTACAAACCCAACACTTCTTTAATGGTACTACAAACCCAACACTTCTTTAATGGTACTAGAAACCCAACACTTCTTTAATGGTACTACAAACCCAACACTTCTTTAATGGTACTACAAACCCAACACTTCTTTAATGGTACTACAAACCCAACACTTCTTTAATGGTACTACAAACCCAACACTTCTTTAATGGTACTAGAAACCCAACACTTCTTTAATGGTACTAGAAACCCAACGCTTCTTCACTGGTACTAGAAACCCAACACTTCTTTACTAGTACTAGAAACCCAACACTTCTTTACTGGTACAAATGTACTCGAAACCTAACACTTCTTCACTGATACTAGAAACCCAACACTTCTTTACTGGTGCTACAAACCCACCACTTCTTTACTGGTACTACAAACCCACCACTTCTTTACTGGTACTACAAACCCACCACTTCTTTACTGGTACTACAAATACACCACTTCTTTACTGGTACTACAAACCCAACACTTCTTTAATGGTACTAGAAACCCAAGATTTCTTCACTAGTACTAGAAACCCAACACTTCTTTACTGGTACTAGAAACCTCAACACTTCTTTACTAGTACTAGAAACCCAACACCTTTTTACTGGTACAAATGTACTCGAAACCTAACACTTCTTCACTGATACTAGAAACCCAACACTTCTTTACTGGTACTACAAACCCACCACTTCTTTACTGGTACTACAAACCCACCACTTCTTTACTGGTACTACAAACCCAACACTTCTTCACAGTTACTAGAAACCCAACATCTTTTTTTTGGTACTAGAAACCCACCACTTTTTTACTGGTACTAGAAACCCAACACTTCTTCATTGGTACTAGAAACCCAACACTTCTTCACTGGAACTAAAAACTCAACACTTCTTTACTGGTACTAGAAACCCAACATTTCTCCACTGGTACTAGAAACCCAACACCTTTTTACTGGTACTAGAAACCCCAAAACTTTTTTACTGGTATTTGAAACCCCACAATTTTTTCCAATTGAGTATAAATGAATACGCTGTAAACATTTCTTAGAAATCAATACTGGTACAATTATTTAAAGGTATTATGACAGGAGGTACACAATACATTTGTGCACTGAAATGTAAGTAAAAGTTTTACTGATATATATATCAAATGGTTTATGAGAAGTTGAAATGAGAGAGATTGATAGACAGACTGATATCCCACCAATTTCCACCTTTTCATTTGACAATTAGAAGTGGGAGTACATCTTTTAGTTCTGGTCATCCACAATATGTTACTGGCATAGACTCATTCACAACTGCAATATAATTCAATGGTTTTAAAATTCTCCAGCTCTTTTTTTCTTCTATGAGGAGGGTTGATATATAAATTGTACTTCTGTATCAAGTGTAAAACACACGAGACAGTTCGGGGCATCTGTGGCCGACAAGTCTAAGTAGTTCATCTACAGCAATCACTAGCCTGTAAACACTGAGGTTGTGAGTTCAAACCCCAACCTTGGCAGGTGCATTTGACTTCGATCTTAATTGACAAGGATTGCCAGTTTTCCTGTGAAAGATCAGTGCTTCTCTCTGGGCACTCTGGCTTCCTCCACCAATAAAAACTGGCCTCCACAATATAGCCAATAGTGCTAAAAGAGGCATTTAACACCATCAATCAATCAATACAGCTAAATATGTAAAACATAATAGTCGAGTGTGTAGATATATCATATAGCAAGAGATTCGTTGGTGGAATCTGTTTCTCTAATGATTTTCAAATTTAATCTTTCTATTTTGATGATCTGCAACAAGATGATTTTATTCTTATGTGAAGTCATCTGACATGGCTTTCTTTTTTCTTGACGTCACAATATAAATTCAGAGCAAAGCAAGCAAATATGATGCTAATAATTGACTTTTGACCAATAAAGGAATGAGATCAAACAAACCTCTCATTGGTTAATCAAATTAAAGAAGAAAGTGTCTGAGGACACAAAAGCTTGCTTATAATACATGTATGTGAAAATACTTTTGGGACGGACAGACGGTCAAGGGTAACACTTAATGATCCCTTCGCCTAGCAGCGGGGGCATAAAAAATAATCAACTAGACGACAAAAGTATAAAAAAATTGAGAATTTGATGAAAAAAAAAATATTCCTAAATTGATGTTTGAACAAACATCAATTTAGGAATATTCTATCATTAAATTCTCATTTTTTTCAAATCTTTGCCTTCTAGCTGATTATTCTTTTTATTGAGAATTTGATGATAAGATATTCTTTAATTGATGCTTGTTCGGTCTGTGTTATATTATTACTTTGTTACCTCATCCATGTAATTTTAACAAATGAACGCTACACAAAGTTTTCTGCCTTCATATATTAGAATTAGTACTTACATTTGTGTATATATAATCACTATTTGTTGCTAAAAATACTTTAGATCCATGTAGTCTCATTCTAAAAATAAAACACGGAAACAAAATAAACAAAAGAACAGTGTTCCAATGCCTCCCATCCTGGCACATCATATTTATCCAAGGGAAACAACTCCAATAATTTTCTTTTCGAGTGTAAAAATCATTCATGTTTCCAAGATATTTCTCTTATAAACCTTTGCTATAATGTTAATTAAAATATGACAAGAAATATAGACATGTTGGCATTAACAAACACAATTTTCCATAAAGATCACACTTACAAAGGCACAACTCTGGTAAAATTGGTTGGTGTTGAGTTTCCAACTTGTCTTAATATAAAATTTTTATATAAATTATAACTTCAAAAGTAAAAGTCACAATAATATATGATTCAAGCTTATAGCTTTGTCAGCATATTATATTGTGTTAAGAACTACATCTAGTCAAGTTGGTTTTTGTAGAAGCCTATAAGCTACCTCTTGTTCTAGTTTAATTGCTATGTCATTGTTAGTGCACAAGGAATTTGTTTCCCCTTCTTATTCTGACAGTTGTTGACAGTTTATTATAATGGTTTATAAACGCATCCCAAACAGAACAGTAAAAAAAAAATCAAATATGCATATTCTCACCTGTCTAAAAGAATTGGTAATCTGTCATCTTTTATGACATATTTCTCTAAATTTTTTGCTGTTTCTGTTTTCAGAGGGCCCTGAAAAAAATAGCTTTTATTTTTCCATTGTAAATAGCAGTTGCAGATAATGACAATTTAATGTATGTTTTATTAGCAATTAGAGTTATCTTTCTTTTGTTGCAATTTTGTAAGAATCAAATATTTTGATCGAAAGTTTTCTAGGTAAAAGTTTTTTAAAAGACTCTTTTATTCAGAAAATAAACATCCACTTAGTGTCACAACTTGACATTTTTGTTAAAAGTAGTACTGAAATCAACTGTGAGTCAAAAGATCTATTTGCTATATATCAAAATAATCTTTAGGAAGTACTATTGTTGATTGTAAAAAGTTAAAAATACTTAAATAAAATAAATCTGACACTGACTTATTGGCTAGCTTAGTTGGGGGGACTACTAATGATTCAAGGTAAGTAGTCCTGCAAGGAAATAATTGGCCCTTCAACATGTCAATTGAAATTCATCTTAATTTAAACAGCGATAAGGAGTACTTTTAAACAAAATATGATATGAAGTGTTAAACCATGTTCATTTTGTTTAATTGCAACCAATTTTAATAAAAGCATTTCTTTTGAAAACCAGTTGCCATTCACATAACGTATACCCCATATCCTTTCTTTTCTATTATAAAAAAAAATCACTGTTTTAAATTTCAACTGCCTCCTCATTTCTAATTTGACAAATTCAGTCAGCTGTTCTTAATACAACTGATCATGACCATTTTCCCAAACTCTGGTATTACATAATCAAAGTTCTAGAAATCTTTTCCCCCCTGGTGGACCTTGGAAAAAAATCTGCTGGTCCTTACTATTATTTCTATTGCAAAAATACCAAAATTATGTCTGTCATTTGCAATATTTTGGCGGTCAAAACCTTCAGACAACCACTTTTAGAGAACTCTGCAAAATTTTGCTTTTATTGGTTTCATTGACAAATTCCCAACATCGCCTTGTATTCCAATAGTTTTCTCTTAGCTATAGCATGCCACATTTATATTTTCCTACTGAAAGGTTACATTATTTCCTAATAAAATCATAACAAGGGATGACTGTTTTGTGGTAAAACATGTCTCACTTAATTTGCAACAAATCTGAATACCATAATGATATTACATGTACTTCATATATATGGAATGGTTATCACTTAACAATATTTACAAATATAAGAAAATGTGGTATAATTTCAAATGAGACAACTATCCCCCCCCCCCCCCCCCCCCCAGTTCAAACATGCCCAACTAGACTGAGAGAAATTTTCAAAATCAAAAGGGAGTCAAAATTTCCCATGCCTTTTATCTATCTGGCATTCAAAGTCACATAACTCTGGAATGACATCAGGATTTTGTTTTTTATCAACCAGTGTGTTATTTTTGCCAATTTCAATAATGTAAAGTTTCCAGTAAATCAATCCAAGCAAACTCAAGTCATGGTACCAGAAGTAAAAAATTTACTTTAATCTGATAAGTAAAGTCCTGTAACTCTTGAAATACAAACCAGAACATTTTAAAAATCGAGCCTTCTTTTCTGTCAATCTTAATATTGTGTTAAAATTACATAAGAATGAAACTATAGTATTTATTAGTGATTATTGAACCATGAAATTGAGGTCAAGGACAACAGACATATGCCAGCTGAAAACCTCAGACCATAAGGGATCTGTCTACAGCTCTTCAACCTTCTGAAATATGAAGCTTTATTCAAAGCGCTCAGGTTGCCTCAAGGATGAGCATCCTTTTTCTTCATTCTCTGACATTTGTCACAGGCGATACAAAGCTTGTTTATCACAGCTGGTATCATAATTTTTTTTTCTTTTGGGTAAATTAACAGTGCCAAAAAAAACCCAAATATGTCTACATATACATACTGTTTTTGTATGGACATAATCTGTAGCAGCTAGAACATCTTGGTATATAGACATATAAGTCATAGTTATATCTCCTGATTTCACACCATTGTCAACTCTAAAAAATAAAGTCTTCATACATAAGCAGAATAAAATTTACATAATGCATGAAAGGGTTGTAGCATTGAAATACCATTGCTATATTGTAGTGGATTTCTGAGAACTTAAAGTGCACTTAAAAAAACAAGAAGGACATAGTTATATCTTCTGATTTCACACAATTCTCAACTCTGAAAAGAAATTCTACATAATATGTACGTGAAAGGGCTGTAGCATTGAAATACCACTGTTATATCATAATGGAGTTCTGAGAACTTTTAGTGCACTTTACAAACAAAGCTTTATAATTAACTGCAACAGGCAGATGGACACATTTAGATCTTAAATCCTGGAATAAGACCAAAACATATGTGGATTGTATAAACTATTTTTGGCGATCCAAATCAAAAATGAAAACGATTTGCGCCATGTTCCATCTGATAAACATCTTGATAAATTCTGAAATGGACACCATTAATGATGTTCTTTTCTTTCCATTGATGTATTTTGCTCAAACAGATTTGCTTACAGCCTTTTTATCTAAGAATCATTTTATTCGATTAGAGATATTCTAATTTAATAGATATTAACCTCTGTCTATGATGTAACATTCTTTTTCTGTTTCTCTAGGATAAGATTTATTTGAAATTTTTCTGTTGTAGAAAAAAAAGTGATGCTTTTAATACTGACATGACAGATAAAATTGAGAATGGAAACGGGGAATGTGTCAAAGAGACAAGAACCCGACCAAAGAGCAGAAAACAGCCCAAGGCCACCAATTAGATTATGATTGAATTATTGCACTATATTACAATATGCATTTTGGCAAATCATTAAAGAATTTCCTTGCTATTTTTAAGAATTTTAGTCAAAGAATAATTGACATTGCAGTTTGTTCTAAATCTTATGTTGCATATTTTTTCGTGACAACTCACATGCATCCTAACATAAAACTTACCAAAAATCATTCACTTGTGAATTCTGGGTCATAGTGACACTATTTTTACAGAAATGTGTTGTAACTACATGGAGTAATGTAAAATTTAAATGTCATAGATTTGTAAATTATCATTCATGCTTCTGTAGTAAGAAAGACATGATATTTCTATGAAATAAAATGAAAATTTTATGAATTTACTTCTGGGAAATTAAAAATATGCTTCAGATTTTAATTTATCCTTTCTTTTGGTGGATCAATAGTTATTATTCAACTTTAAGTAAAATAGAAAAAAAGAAAGATAAACTGTTAACACAGAGATATGTCTTGCCTTTTTGTTATTTTGATAGTAAAATGCAAATGTTGAAATTAAAATAGCAATACTTTAACATGTAAGTTATGCAAAATATTCAAAGTCAATGAACCATGACTGAAGGCACAGGGCCAAACAATCTCCAAGGAAATGAGATGTGCCAATGCTAATACAACTGCATACCAAATATCAATGACCTACCACTAGTGGTTCCCCATAAACTGACCTAATCACAAACTAATACATTGTTGACGATGCCAAAAAACAAAAAGAGTACCTAAAAAGGTTGATGAATTTTTCTACTTATTTATTTATTTTCAGAATCATCTATATTGTTTTAACTGATCATGTCCAATTCCATATCCTGTTTTTTTTCAATTTATTTGAATAAACAATTTTCACCCAAAGCAAATGTCCCTATCATTTCATAATATAATGCATAAAATTAAAGTGATTTTTCAAAAATGTCAAAATTTAGACATCTGATAATGGGAGAGATCAACAAGTTTTATCTAATATTCTCTCCATGAGAAGGCAGATTTATCACAATATAAACTGTTTTATCAGTTATATCACGCCATCCTATCTTACGAAATGCTCCAGGTTAGCTTCATCTTCTGATAGCTACTAATACTTAAATTTATAGACTCTTTTAAAATAGTAATTTCAAAAGTTTAAAATAAAGTAATGGGGAAAAGTCTGCAAAACTAAGCCCACATAATCAGTTTATCAAGTACAGTACACTTCTGACTTAAAAGACCACACCAATTCTTATTGTGTTTGGAAAAGATGATAAAAAAGACTTACTTTAAAAGAAATGTTTATTTCAAAATAATATTTTCATTGAAATTCACAAAACTACTTCATGGAATGATTTTCCATTATTACCATAATATTAATCAAAGCAGTAAAATTTGGTAAAATTTTTATGTGAAATAGTCCAGTTTTTTCATTGTGTGTTCTCTTTCTACAAAGGCAAAGGTGGAGGTTTATGCACATGCAAAACTGGTCTAACCCCTTAACATTTTGCATCTCATATACCTTTATCTTCGTGTCCTTAAATAAGCCATGGCTTCTACTGACCCCTCATCTTGGAATGTCATATTGAAATTTCTCATCGCATAATAATATATATATTATACTTATATAATTAAAAAATAAAAAACTTATATAGGTGTGCGCAGCTTAACAATCAACAGGAACTTATAAATTTATATGGGTTCCAGTTTTCGACATTTAACGCAGACTTAAAATTATTCAAAGTCTTTGCCGTCACAGTTAAATCTGACAGGTTATTCCAATGATCCACTACTCAAATTGAAAAAGTATTTAGTCAATGTGTCCGCTTACACTGTTTTTTTAAATAGTGTAATGATTCTTACTATCTGAACCATGAGTGTTATGTGTTGTTTGATTTGGTTTGTCTATAGTTTGTTTGTACATCTATGTTTTTCAGAGGAGTAAGGTGTTGGTAGTGTTATTTGTTGCTCTAAGTTTACAATGTTTCTTTGATCATCTTTAACCTTCAAATTATGTAGTACAAATAGAAACATGCATTCTAACCACAAATAACATGAAAATCAAATACCAAAAAACAAGATGTTACATAACTGTTTTATTGTTTTCTAGATTGAGATTAAGTGAGATTTTCTGCAAAAATAATACAAATATCACCTAGAAACCAAATTTGTGGAAATATGTTGAATAAATCAAAAATTTACAAGAAACCACTGAGATGATTAATCCTATCATCTATTTCAACCCAATCCATTATCATTTAGAAAACATCAAATTTAATATGTTTGTAGATATAGATAAGTATATTATCTATTTTTGATGGATAGAGCTCCCATTGGGATTCCAGGATAAAATGTAGTAAGCGTTATGATATTATGATATAGCTGTTGTATTTTTGACATTTGATATTTTTTGTAATTTAAAAGAATTATATGTTACGTATGTTTTCAAATCTAAACATTTTGACTGATGTAAAGGCTATTATGGAACTTGGTTACCCACTGAAGCATAAAATTCAAGACAGACTCTTAATTTATGCTTTAACCATCCTTGTCACTTCAAAGGTACCTATGACAAATTTTTTGAAAAAAATATCTATGAAATATTAAAGATAATGAAGAGTTGAACTTTTTTAACTGTGAAATAAATCTTTTCACAGGATTGTGAAAGCACCGATCAATCACACGTTTTAGTATGATGTGCTTCTATGCATTGATCCAAATGAACCATGGTAATATCTTTATACCTCAATAAAAATACAAATAAATGTGGATAGTGTCCTAATGTGGACACAGATGATGCCCCCGCTTGCATATCATATAGTTGTGCAGGGACATAACTGAAGAACGGTAAAAGTGACGCTACCCAAATTTGAAATTGTTCTGAGTTTTGTGGTAATAAGCATTGTGTGTAAGTCTTGTAACATTTGGTTGAGGCTAACTTAAGTAGAGAACAGAAACGAAAAATTCAGCAATTTTTATGTTTATAAAGGACCATAACTCTAAGAATGGTAAAAGTGTTGCCACCAAATTTCGTACTTAATCTGTATTATGTAGTAATAAGCATTGTGTATAAGTTTCATAACATTTGGTTGAGGCAAACTAAAGTTAGAAAACAGAAACAAAAAATTTGTACTTGATCTGAGTTTTGTGGTAATGAATATTGTGTATAGGTTTCATAATGTTTGGTTGGGGCAAACTTAAGTTACAGAATGGAAACTAAAAATTTTGCAATCTTTCTATTGATAAAGGGGCATAACTCAATAATGGTTAAAGTGACACTACCCAAATTCAACTTGATCTGTGTTTTATCAGTGGAAGTCAAATTAAACATTGCATTGTATAAAGCATTGATTGTAGTTGATTCAACTATAATCATGGACAAAGGAAGATAACTCCAAATTTAAAAATTACTTGATATTTAGAAGAAAAAAATAAAAATTTTGCAATTTTTCCATTTATAAAGGGGCATAACTTTAGAACGGTTAAAGTGACGCTACCAACATTCAAAATTGATCTGTGTTTTGTGGTAATAAGCATTGTGTATAAGTTTAATAACATTTGGTTGAGGCAAATTTAAGTTAGAGAACGGAAACTAAAAATTTTGCAATTTTTCCATTTATAAAGGGGCATAACTCTAGAATGGTTAAAGTGACGCCACCAAAATTCAAACTTGATCTGTGTTTTGTAGTAATAAGTATTGTGAATAAGTTTCATAACATTTGGTTGAGGCAAACTCAGGTTAGAGAACGGAAACCAATTTTGGGACCTAAGGACGGACGTACGTACTTACGTATGTACAGACGGACAAGGCTAAAACTTAATACACCCACCGCTACGGCAGGGACATAAAAATGTATTGAATTCTTCAATGAAGAAGTACTGTTACTCATACTTTTTCAGTGTTTTCTGTTAATTTTTCATTATAAATAGATAACCCATATTCCACACAGTTTTTTAACCTGAAATGCATACTAATTTGTACTTACTTTTTAAAATCTTCATGGTTGGAAAAGAAATCTACTATACATGCAAGTATATAAATACCTGAAAATACAGAGCAAAGATGGCATCAGTAGTTTAATACTGAAGAAACATCAACTAGGGTAATGTGAACACACAGGGCCCTGCTACAAGTAAATAAGTAATTGAGATCAAAGTCCCATAACTCCTGTAAAAATGGTTGTATAAAAATTATGGTACAATATGGTCAACTAAACATGATGGCAAACAATCTTACACAATATGAGAGATTTTTGTCCAATGGTTCAGAAGAGTTGCATTTACAAGGTGGCTTTGTTGTTTGTGACAGATGGATGGACTTAATACTACAGGCCTAGCTTCCACTGATTGATTATCGGGCCAAAAATTAATTAGGAAATTTGAAGCAGATACAAAGAACTGGACAACACAGTACAATAACCAATAAAGACTAAATTTTTTTTGGAATCAAGCCCCTCCCCCCTGAATTTTTCTTATTAATCCCCCCCTCCCCACCAACTCTAAGTTGGAAGATTTCTTATTGAAATTTAATCATACTACTACTTTTTTCTCTCTCCTGGATGAATTGCATCCAACAACCACAGTTCAAAATAACATTTGAACTGAAAGAGTCTATAAACTGCAAAAGAACAATTTCACAATGGAGGCTGTCTTTATTGTTTGAGGATAGATAATACTGTCTTTTGGTACTATCTGCAAGTAACATTCAATAATCCTTTTTTAGAAATAAGGTAAGTGGCTTTCAACTTGTGGCATCAACTTACATCACAAAGGTGATGAACTTCAGATATCTTTACATGACATGCTGACAAACCTATCTCTACCACTTGACCATAGGTCTTAAAAACAACTGATACTGGGTATAATGTCAAGGATAAGAAATCTGGTGTATATCAAATTTTAAAATGCACTAAAACAAGTGCATACATTATATCAACACCATTTACAAATTTGTGTTTTCAACACACAAAAAATTGGGTGCTGCTTTTCAATTAGCATTCCAATATCTTTATTTGTAATGATGCAAAAAATGGAATCAACAATCTTTTAGACTTAAAAAAAGAAGAAAAGAATTGCAAAAATCAATAAAGATTGCAGGAAAAAAATAACATCTATAACTAACTAACCTAATAATTATGTTCCATTCAAGAAACTTTTCTACCTGTCAGTCAGATTGTTACATTTATTTGTTTGACGTAAAAATATCAAAAGGGATAATCAGACTATTATAAACATAAGTCTATTTGCAGTGAATGATTTCCTGTACAGAGGCATGTATTCTATCTTAAACACTGACGTATGTTTGAATTACACACCCTCGACAATTCAAATTGTTTGTGCTAAAGATGCAACCACTGCCAAGAAGGTAGGAATAAGGATGATTTTGTAGTAAACACCGAGGTCATATGACCTTTGACGTTGTACAATAACAGTACAAATCCATTTTGGAAATATTATTTATAAACATTTATAATTAAACCTATCCTGCCTAAGATGAAAGTATGTCTACATATTTCTCCAACCAAATGATTCACCTTCTAACAAAATAGCAAGTGAAATATACTTCTCTAAACTAAGCATACCAAACCAGAAACTTGGACAAGTGGACATTTAATATGTTATTTGGTGAATTCTGGCATATTTTCAATTCAACTATGCATTGCACAAGAGTAAGCAAAAACAAACCAAAACTTGTGATAATGGCCAAAGTGAACTTCGTACTCTATGGCCTTTTTAACTTTTTTTTGATTCGAGCATCACTGATGAGTCTTTTGAAGACAAAACGTGCGTCTGCCGTACAAATTTTTAATCCTGGTATTTATGATAAGTCCAGATATCAGCTTTAAGAAAGTGTAAATCAAATGTCTAAATGCTGTGATGCCTTGGGTATAACACTGAAATATCACAGCTCCCAAATTGGTTCTTTGTACCATTATAATAATCAATGAACAAAAAATGGTTCAGTATAAAAACAGCAGCTTTAAGGTAATAAACTGCTTCGCTAAGCACAGCTGGATACGCCCGCAGAGGTCCAACCCTGAACAGTTGGGGCAAAAATGGACACAATATTCAAGCTTGATACAGGTCTGAATTTGAATTGTAATTAAATATTTGACATATTATAGGTTTCTGAATAAATGTAGTCAAAGAACTTGAAATTGGTTATTCAATTAAAGATTTCTTGCTGTTATGCAATACACTGTGCTGTTGCGCAATACTTAGTAAATCTGTTGTCAGACTATAAACAAATAAAATCTTATAACTCGGAAACGTAACATTGAAAATTTATAAAAATCAAAAAGGGAGCTTACAAAGATAGATATAAACAATTTACCAAATTTTCATAAAAAATGCTGAAAGTATTTTTGAGTTATTGTCCGAAAACTGGAAAATCCCCAATTTTGTAATGAATAAAACCCCATGAATCGGAAACGTATAGTCTAAAATTTATAAAAATCAAAAAGGAGCTCATGTCGATAGAAATAAACAATTCATCAAAGTTTCTTGCAAATTGGTGAAATTGTTTTTCGAGTTCTTGTCCAAAAACTGGAAAATCCCCCCTTTTTTAATGAATAAAACCCCAAAACTCGGAAACGGTAAATCTGAAATTTATAAAAAAGGAAAGGGAGCTCAGGTCAATAGGTATAAACAATTCACAAAAGTTTCATGCAAATTGATGAAATTGTTTTTGAGTTATTGTCTGAAAACTGGAAAATCCCCCCTTTTTTAATGAATAAAACCCAAAAACTCGGAAACTGTACATCTGAAATTAAATGTTTTACTTATAAACTGTTGTTTTCAAGTAGGAATTAAAATGAAATCTTGTTTTCTAATTTTTCTTTCATTTCTGGGGAAAAAGGACAAATCCCTAATCCACCCCCTCTGAATCTATCACATCATAAATAAATGGAGAATGTGACCATAGGACACAGATGATGCCCCCATTGCATATAACATTACTCAAGAACGGTAAAAGTGACGCCACCCAAATCAGAACTTGATCTGAGTTTTGTGGTAATAAGCATTAAGTATAAATTTCATAACATTTGGTTGAGGCAAACTTAGAGAACAGAAACGAAAAATTCAGCAATTTTTCCATTTGTAAAGGGGCATAACTCTAGAACTGTAAAAGTGACACCACCGAAATTCAAACTTGATCTGTGTTTTGAGATTATAAATAATCATAGTGTATAAGTTTCATAAAATTTGGTTGAGGCAAACTAAAGTAAGAGAACAGAAACTAATTTTGGGACGTACATAGGGACGTACATAGGGACGTACAGACAGAAAAGGGTAACACTTAATGCCCCCTCCACTGCGGCAGGGGCATTATTTAACCATAAAAATTAGTTAATCAGTTTTTATGATACAACTTTTCATCAAATAATGTTTAGAAGTTTAATTTTTCCTTACACTGTATCAAAAGTAAATTACTTCAATTATGAGGCAACAACCTAAGCAATATGCGTCATAAATTTGAGGAAATTATTAAAATGATTTCCATCAATGCCAAATTGTTGTATAATTATTTTGGCAAAAGCAACTTTTTGATGAATAATTTCAAATTAATGCATTAGGGAAGAATTGTGTGATGATAGGTTAGTAATCGTTGGCAGATAAAATACAAGATGGCTAATTTATTCTTGGCAGACAACAGTACTAACAAGGCTCTATATCTTTAAGGTTAATTAACACTTCACATTAGCTCTTGTCTAAAATCCACAAAATTGTCTCTTATCCAAATACTGAACATCACAGACTGGTGGGATCAATTATGAAAAGATTACAAAACATATGTGTTTGGGTCACTGTCTTGACCACAAAAATGTAATCTTGTCAATATAAATATATCATTACCAAGAGTACATCTACATGCCAAGAAGTTAATGTATAACAAATTGTGGCCATTGGAAAACAATTACACATACTACCTGTCCAATTAATACTTGTATCTAGTTTGCCAGATTCCATTCATTTTGGTCACTTATTTCTATTAAGTATGCATATCTTTTGCAAGTATATGCCTTACACAGAGTCCTAGACATGGGTTTGGTCTACAAAAGACTCAATGTTATGTTAAGAGAATTGAAAACCAAAAAGTTCAAAAAGTTAAGCTGAATATGGATAAGGCCATCTATGTCTGGGGGTAGAAAAAACCTTAGTGTTTTCGAATAATTCAACATTTTATGAGTTGATTTACAAAAAAATTAACATATCAGTGATATTTCATGTCAATACAACCGTGTTGACTACTGGGTTGGTGATACCCTTTGGGATGAAACATGGTCCGTAAAACTCATCAGAGATACCAAGAGGACTGGCACACTTTTCGTCTACAAAGAAATTATGTGTAGATCACATAATGATAAGTTTTAAAGTGTATTTAGAAACAATCATTTATAAAAAGATGTGTAAAGAGTACCTACCTAATGAAAATGTACAGTTTAAGCACTGTATATTCATCACTAATGAAAGCTGACATCATAACATAATAAATGACTTAATCATTGATGTAAATATTATCAGTAATTAGTAAAACCATGTATACTACACTTAAAAACCAACTTTATGATTCCTTCGACGCATGAAGTCATTTATCTTTTCAACCTTTTGAGTAACAAAAATAACAATATTGCTTTGCTGTAGATAAACTCTTCTCAAACAATCAAGGAGAAGCTGCATTCACAAGATATCATTGTGTTTAATAGTCGAAAAATGGTTAAAGTCTCATTATTCCTGTAACAATGGTAAAAGTCTTGAAAAAAATTATCAAATCTAAATGATGGTACAGAAATGGTCAATAGAATATGATGTATGAAAGCTTTCTGTCAAATGATCCCTGAGTATTGTTGTATTTTGGAAGAGGACTATCAACAAGGGACAATAACACAGACCATTAAGGTCCTGTTGGTCACCTAATTTGTTTGATGCTTCGCAAAGAAGAGTGCATATAACCTCATTGTAATTAATCTTGGTGTTGATTGCATCGGAGGGGATGTGGTAGGAGGTGGGGTGCGTAGGTGGGTGGACAAAACCAATCCCTG